TCCATAAAAAACAGCGCTCAGACGGAAGCAGCAATCTGTCTCGATTCAGACCCAGTGGACGTACAGGCTGCAAAAAGGGCAGTGTGTAAACATATATAAAGCAAAGACGGCGTCTTGTCAACCACCCTCAGGAGCCAAGGCATCAATGGAAAGCTGCGTCTTCGGGCAGCAGCGACTACCACCGCCGTCCTCTGATTCGAATGACTAGCGAGATGACTGCCACCCCGCCCCCTCCCCTTCCCTTCTCCTAAGTAATGACATTCGGTGCCTAGAGGCACTTGTCAAAGCGAGCAATTAAAGCAGGGAGAACATGGGACGCTTAAAAAGACGACATTTTCAAGAACCGCGACTGCTGCTAGCCAACAAAGCCATAAACTATTGGTGGAAATTCTCGTTCGTTGAAAAGTACTACTATAGCAGCGCGCACTTTTAACGAGGTACATGCCGAAAGGCCGTTTGCAACTCAAAGTATTCCTAACACGTTATTCAACAGCACTTTCGTGGCGCTCTACTTCACTGAAGTTTATATCCATAAGAAAGCATGCTATTACACATGTTGTCTTGTCCTAACACTTACTAGTAATACATTAATGCATAATTCATCTTCATTTGTATGTGTCAGAGTTCATAAGCAGACGAATGCATGTATCTGATTGGAAGAATACAATTGACCCAGTTGTGAAAAACTCGGTGGCCTCGGTGGGATTCGAACCCACAACAGCAGGGGCGAGGCTTTACCACAGACAACGCTCTATTCAATTCAGCTACGAGGGCCCCGATGGGAGCCATGAGTTTGATCACACTTGGATAAATCCACAACTGGATCAAATGAATTATTCAAATCTGCCAGAACTCCACTAATTAATTGTGCCTGAGATGAGAATACCTGTGGGTCCTAAGGCAGTTTTTATACATATATGAGGAATTTAGCGAGGCTGCAAAGATTGCACAGGCAGTATTGCATCTGCGCCCTTATCAATGCCATAATTGCAGCCTAAAACATGAGTCACATTTATTGCAACGGTTGATGAGAAGCAGGTGACTTCTTCCTACTGACAGATGCCTTTTAACGAGAGTGCAAGAACAGGTGTTCCCGTGTGCACTAAAAAAAATATAGGATTTGGGTTAAACAAGCACAGAAAGGCACGTCACATTTGTTGATTCACTTTTGCAGGTAGCTCGAAAGATACCTATCTAAAGGCCAGCATTTGGGCCTGTATGAAGCATCTCATGATTAAGCCGCGCGCTGGTTACTATTGAAACCCTACCATCTATTCAAAACTGAATTGTAGAGTTCTGAGTCTAACCACTTATTTTAAACCCATGCTCTGATCTGGGAGTAACTAAAAAGCTAATAGAGCAAGTATCTTTTAGGCAAGACCCCCTTCAAAGGACCGTTTTAAATTATAGGCATTGGTCTAAAGCTGGAAGGGGTCAAGTGGTGTTGGATCCCCCACAAACGACACCCGCCTGTGACAGCGGAACCGTCGGTTTTTTACATCTCTGCAAAATGGGCGCAGGGAGGGTGATTTGCGCGTAAGGCATTTAAGAGTGGACTTGCACTGCATCTACTGACCCTCCTGGACCTCGTGTAAAGACAAGTTAGGAAGATTGGAGGCGAAATCGGACGCAGGTGTCGTGAGACTGCGTCTAGATGTGCCATCACACGTTCCCATTTGTGGCATTTGTTATAAGTGCGCATCCTCAGTAAATTAGCCCGTGTCCTGATCTGGCCCCCGTGTTGCTCCAGCCTATCTAGCACGTGGCGCGGCGTGGGGGGAGGGGGGTGATGGCATGCCATCTAATAACAGGATGGTCCTAGTCCGAACTCCACCATCAGCAAGGGCGTATCATGGTCATATTTCCTGAACTTCTAATGTCCCCTCCTTGTTTCAACCTTAAGCGTACTGATGATGCTCGCGATGGGCTGCCATTGTCCCGCCTCGCTGATGTCTGCTCCTATAGATAGCCGTATGGTGGGGCTGGAGGGCGAACAT